CAAAATTCTCTTCCACAGGCACCCTGTCACAGCCGCCTCTCTCTCTTCCCCCTCCCTCTCTCTCGTTCCTATTTCTCTCTCTCTCTTTCTCTCTTTGCCACTTTTCCAGCTTATTACTTCGTCAGAGTACCCAGGAGCTCAAACTCTTCTTCGTATGTTTTGTGACCCTCTTTTAAAGGTGCTGATTCCACGGTGCCCACTCCACCAAAATCCATACCTCAAATCCCTTCACGGCCAGGGTGCACAGAGTTCCTCCCAAAATCCTCTTCTGTGTTACGCCTTGTCTCAGTCGCCTTTCTCTCTTCCCCCCCCCCCCCTCGTTCCTCTCTCTCTCCCTCTCTGCCACTTTTCCAGCTTTCCAAGTTTTGCAACTTTCCATAGCTTTTTCTTTCTGAGTTAGGCGCATTCAAATTTTGGCGTTTATTGACTCGTAAACGAGTAGAGGAACGAATCCTCATTTACGCAACGCCTCTGCGAACAGCTAGTCCTTTCGCTCCAGTGTGTTGTACATCGTGTCGACCATAAACCGTGGAGGCAATACCTAATTGAGGTATTCGTTCCTCTTCCATCGAATGTGAGTTGAAAATCTGCGGGAATTGCCTTTTCATGACACAGTGGAAAAAAACTACGTATCTTACTGAAGAAGTCAAATGTCTGCCGAATTCCAACGTCGCATTTCATTTCATTTCATTTCACGGTAAGGTAGTTACAGTAAGAGTTACGGTAGTTTGAGTGTTGCGAGGTTTTAAAATTAGACGGTTGATTTTTCTTAACTCCTTTTTTCGTGAAATAAGCTTACCACGCAACATGTATATCATTTGCATTCGCGCAAGGACCCAGTAAGATCCCCATGTGTCCAGACTTGCCTGGACGCTGCCTTTAAAACGCTGATTCCAAATATATAATATATGTTTTTAATCTGCCAAGCGACTATCTGGGAGTTATGAGCGCTCATATATGAGAAATTTTTGAGTTCAACGCTTCCTGGACATCCACAATTCCCACCCCACCGTTTTTCCCCTAGAGTACCCTTGGATAGTTGCGCACCAATTCGCAGGGGATCAGCCAGAATGTTCGCAGTTTCTTGCTCCCTCAGATGTAGGTTGGCACATAAGTTTTGCAACTTACCATAGCTTCTTTCTGAGTTAAGCGCATTCAAATTTTGGCGTTTATTGACTCGTAAACGGGGTAGAGGAACGAATTCGTCATTTACGCACCGCCTCTGCGAACAGCTGGTCCTTTCGCCCGAGTGTGTTGTACATCGTGTAGACCATAGTCCGCGGAGGCAATGCAATTGAGGTATTCGTTCCTTTACCCTCGAAAGTGAGCTAAAAATCTGCGGGGATTGCCTTTTCATAACACAATGGAAAAAAAACTACGTATCTTATTGGAGAGGTCATTCTTCCGAATTCCAACATCGCATTTCAGAGTCACGGTGAGGTAGTTACAGTAAGAGTTAGGGTAGTTTAAGTGTTGTGAGGTTTTGGAATTAGACCTTTTTCTTAACTCCTTTTTTCGTAAAATAAGCTTACCAAACAACATGTATATCATTTACGTGTCGATGTCGTATATCTTCCCCCCCCCTAGACCAGGTTCCATCCAAATTTGTGAAAAACTCTTTCTCTCTCATTCAAATACCTTAGCGTAACTTTCAAAGGCAACGTCGAAATTCGGCAGAAACGGTTGCCTTCGCTGCTCACATGACAGTCATTATAAGCAAAAATGGAAACGCCACATTTAAAAAGACAAAAGCTATAAGAATAGTTGCAAAACTTATGTGGCAAGCTACTGCATACCAACTGATTGCTCTTTTGACGAACTTCCTGCGATGTAAGCCGACTCGCGCAAACATTGTTATTACACACACCCATAAACCGCTTTAAGTGAGCGGCTCTCCTAGTTTTTGCCTGAGCAGAAAGTGAGAGCAAAATTTTCCGTTAGGCACGCCACACTCAATCCACTTGACCCCAACCACTTCAATGGTCAAATTAGTGAACAAACCAACAGAGAAGCGGATGCCCACTTGACCCATTTGGTCCGCTATCATTATTGTTGAATTCACAGGTTAACGCAATAGTGAATGACTTGGGTTGAAGGCACCGTCCACTCTGGATCAGGGGGCCTGAGCTTTTATCAATTTTCGATAGTAGTACCCCTTTCAAGCCCATGCCCAAGTCGCCGGGCAAAATGTCGCTTTGGAAGCGAAAAATGGCGGGGCAGCAAAGAGGCATAAGGACCCCAAGTCGGCAACGCCTCTCTCTCCAGCACTGCCCACCCATCCGTGCTCAGACAACCAATATACGTTTAGTAGAACGGGCCTGCGGGTTTTCCGGGACGAGGTCGTCGGGTTTTTATGGGCTCTCGACCTCATATTCGGAATCAGGAATCCCAAAACCACCAAACATAAATGCCGAGGATCTGAGGGGACTATCCTTGAGTATGGCGCTTGCGCTGAACACTTAACGTAAGGCAAGTTGATACTGCCTTGCGAAGCGGCCATCTCCCGGATTTCTTGCCAAGTTGCTCACAATTCCCCCCCCCCCCTCCCGCAATTTGATATTCTTCTCCATGAAACAACCATCTGTTAATTCCTGAGCGAGAACATCCCTAATGTTTACTTACAAAGAGAGTTAGTTGAAGATAAAAGAGGAGGCAAAACAATAACAAAGGAAACATACTAAATTACAAGTACAAGCAAAGATGGTGTTTGCCAAATCTATGCATTATCCACCTCTCCTCATAGAATTTTGATATCTTATCGTACAGAAGATGACGCACCCGAACACTGCTAGGGTGAAGTAGTATCCGGGTAAGAAGTCGAATTTAAGTTTTGCTTACCTAAGCCAACGGCTATTCGCTGCGACAGTCGAGTAGATTTTCCGTATATATAGTGTGCTTGCACAGGAAGTGAAATGCGAAAATCGCGCAACGAAACGTCGACTAAGAAAACGTAGTCTAAGTTGTTTTCAGCCACAAAACTCCCTTTGCTTTTTGTCCCAAAAATGATACCCAGTTTACTCTTGTAAGCCACCTTGCCGAACCCTGGACCAGTAGTGAACGAGTCGAACCAAATGCAGCGGATAAGTCTGACGCCTGCCTCTTAGCTTTGGTATCATAGCCACATCCGAAGGATAGTTTATGTTGTACGTCATTCCATTGGCGCGGGCTTTGAATAATGAACAACAGTGTGATTCAATTTTTCCTATGTTAGATATTTCGCTGTCAGCCGCGCACTATCGTTGGATCCAGCAATCTCTCCGGATAGGGCATAATCCACATTGCCGCGTGTCCTAATTTGAAGCAGCACCATGCCGGATAGTAGATGTCTGGAAACAGAGAGAGTTCCCCTGGTAGGTGGCAGCTAGTCCATGTCAGAGTCGTCGCCAACATCAAATCCAAGGAAGCGACGCGTTATAGCAGCGGTCTTCACTATGAATTTACCTCGCCGTTTTGGATTACGTGATTTGAAGCAAATCACCTTTAAATGATTTACCTCAAAGCAGGAATGAGCGTCTAAGCTTATTGAACGTACCAAATGCTTTTGAACACGTTTGTTCAGTTAGGTGTGACTTCAGGACCACTTCTCTGCAGAGTTTGCACAAAAGTTCGCGATTATTCGTCTTTGGTATCACGGTACAGTGGGTCGTTTCAAAATGCGTTTTCATGTGTATGCACTGAAAACCGTATATGAGAAGACGATAACTCAAAGTGTACTCCTCGAACTAATGATTCTACAGCATATAAAAAAACTGGCAAGGGCGATGCATTTAGACTCTCTCAATGAGGGCGTCGCAGCTTTGGGAACGGCCATAGGTTGTCGGTGTTGTCGATGTTGTCGGTGTTGTCGGGGTTGTCGGTGTTGTTGGGGTTGCTGAGGTTGCCGGTCGTTGTAAGACCTCATGATAGCCTCCACGTTTCGCGCGCTCTCTAAACTTTCTCTGACCCCGACAACACCGACAACATCGACAACACCGACAACACCGACAACACCAACAACACCGACAACCTATGGCCGTTCCCTTTAGTGCTCGGGCCTCATAGCCGCCTCCATCGGTTCTTGCGCCACGCTTGCGCACGCATCCTCCAAGCATGTTCGCGCTCAGCAGTTGAAAGCTGTGGAAATGCCCGAAGAATACATGAACGCAGCGCAAGGCCGAGCAGAGCGTCGCTAGGATCCGAACTGCTGGATCTGTGACATTTTCTCGCAGAAAACCTGCAGTTATATTGTGCCAAGTCACAGCTTTGTCAAATTACAGTTTCTCCTATACACACAACTCAATAATCTCTTTTTTATATACTCAAGCAAAGTAAAAATCAATTGAAAGAAAGAAGCAAAAGAAACGTACATCGTAATCCCCATTGAAGCAGACCAAACAACACGACACATGTGGTAACGGCGCAGACCATGTACCGCGATGTGGCTCATTGTGTATGTTGATCCAGGCATGTAAAACATAACCAGGATGTTCCACTGATTCAGTGTGCCACAGAGTGGGAGCAGGTTCCTTCTACACCATTCACACTAAAACATTTCTTTGTTGAACAAGAACACATAAAGGAAAAATATGCTAAATGACCTTTCATAGCTCAAATGTCGCCCATCACGTTTTGCTATCGCAAATGGTGGACAGAATCGGGACATACAATCATCGGGGAATCGGGACAAAAAAAATTGAAAATTGACTAAACTATTCGAATTTACAATTGATTGTGTGACACAATGCGGCAAATTAATCACTATGTACTTCGACGAATACGCTGTTTCCGCTCTGTGCTTAATATTAATGTGGATCCAAAGATTTGTAAGAGTTCACAATGGCTCAATTTTGAAAATGGGCATTACAGCTCATAGTGTAAGGGTCGGAACAGCTGACCTGAAAAATGACAAGATGGGAAGAAACACAGAAGCCAAATGACACGATCCCAAAACCAGTCGTACCTCCCTCAACACATTTCTGCTCGGCAACTTTGACGTGCACAGCGAAGTAAAGCTTTACGCTTCAACCTCGTCCGTCTTCAACCTGCGCAATCCAGACAGAACCATTTTTGGACAAAGTATTATATTGTCTGACCTTGAAACCACTGATAGGACAGAAACATACCATTCCATTCTTAGGCAGCTCGTGCAATGACATGATCTGTTGACGGCATAGGATCTTCGCACATCTGAAAAATGTTATGACAGAAAATAGGAAACAGGACAAGTTCTAGTCATGTCAACACAAAAGCCATAAAGGTTGGATACAAAAACATCTGAAACGCTCAAAAGAGCTAATGCTCTCAACCGAGCAAAAAATCAGCTCTGTCGGAATTCATGCCACGTACCTTGCACTTTGCCACAGTAGGATCATGGAATCGAGATCTTTGGACAGGCAATAGTGCTCGCTTTGCTTATGGACCTGGTTCTTCGTTTCCAGCGTGATAACATCGGAGTTACTACCTTGAACCGATCGTCGCTGAAAGGAAGAACACAGAAATTTGGACGCAGAACATTGTCAAATCACCTTCAAGAGAGGCAAAGCTGTGTTCAGTGGGGCTACGGTAGCAACTCGTGCGTTGCTGTCTATTGGTCGTGGAGCCAGTCGTGGTGGGGGTACTTTTCAAACCATTTCCGAAACAGGAAGCTGCCGGATCCTTGGAGCTATTGCACGTCCTTGCAGCTAAACGTAGACAGTTTAGCATAAAAGAACAGTTAACACATTCTGCTAATGACTACAGTTTGCATTGGGTGTCGGCTCAAATACGCTAGTGAAGGGAAAGTCCAATCCGTTATCGAGAGTCATAGCAAGCTTCTGGAATTCACTCCCTTGATGAAGCTTTATGGCACGACGCCCGCAAAAATATCCTGCATCCGTTATACCCTACAAGCCTATAACGGCAACAGCCTCGCGCAGTGCAACCGCAACGATAAGCGCGCGAGCGTACATTAGCCGAAAATCGCCAGAGCCTTTCTTTGCTTTTCATGTGTGCTTCTCATTCATTTATCAATAAGTAACAGCTACGACTATCACTTATAGTCTTCTATAGCAAGACCAGCACAAGTGTGATGGTGTGATTAACTAAGCGAGGCTGTCGCCGTTAGACCGACTGCATACTTTTGGACTTAAAAAAATAGCTGTCCAATAAGTGAAGCTGCGACATATATGCCCGCTAAACTGCCAAATATCCAAAAAATGCAATCATAAGATTTTGGGGTTCAGAAACACCGTAGGAAAATTTGCAATGAAATTTGTGCAAAAAAAGGTAACCAGGAAATTTACCTTTGATACACCTCCATTTCTATATGCTTCGGCAGTGATGAACGATGCAGCCGTCATCTGGAATACATAACATTCATTTGGGACAGCTTTTGGCAGCTCACAAATTGTCAAGGAATACTTCCAAAACAAATACTTATCGTGCAGAAACATTCCCTACAAGTTATCAGTGAGTCCGTAGGCGCTAGGAATGACCGATGCGAACACCTGGTGATGCCACTACTTCGACCTGAAAGTAACGTATATAAGAAGAGCAAGTATCAAAAAGATGAGTAAATCGTACTGGCTGAACCACGAGAGATCATCATTTCATGAGTCACATCTTCGGCTGGTAATGTAAGACATTAGCCGGACATACTCCGATGGTCATCAAACTCGCCTAACAAATATGTCATCACCCACTCCTGATAATTTGGACAACTCACCCAATTCTTCTGCTGGCCAAGCTGACGACATCTCTGGGACTTCAAAGCAACGTGTACATATATAGACTTCTCATGAGTACCACCAAGATGGCAAGCCTTGCAGAAGAAGAAGAGAGGAACACCATGTGCCTCTCGCAGATGGAACATAAGGCGTGCATCCTAAGCGAATTTCTCTAGCAAAACTTTACCACTGCCTTCCCTATAGGCATTCGCGGTCGTCACAACGACAGCGACAGCCGGCGCGATGTGAGGGACAGAGGGAGAGAGAGAGAGAAAGAGAGGGAGGGAGAGAGAAAGAAAGAAAGAGAAAAAAACAGAAAGAGAAAGAGTCTCTCCCTAGCAGTGGGAAAGCGAGCGGTGGCAGCCGTGAAAAACAGGGCGCGCGCGCCGGGACCACAGCTCGCTTTCCCGCTCTGTGCCGCCTTTTTGAATTTGGCTTACGGTTTTATATATAATGATAACCGAATATTCGAATAGCTGTCTTTCAATTTGGCTCGAATATTCGAATATTCGAATAACTGTCATTTAGAACTCTTCGAATGAACGAATATTCAAATAACTCATTTTTCCAAATCGTCGAATGAACGAATTATTCGAATACAGGACCTTTTCGACTATTCGAATATTCAAATAATTGAACTTTCTCGAATCTTCGACTATTCGAATATTCGAATAGTCGAATATTTCGAATAGTCGAATATTTCGAATAAATTATTCGAACACGAACATTCGGTTCTAACTATAATATATATCTGCTGATAGTATGCACCTGATCAGAACTTCGATGATGTGTGAGAGGTCTTCTTAAACAGATAATCAGCAGAGCAATGCGTACTATTCGTTCCACTCCATCTCTATCCGATATCATAACAACAAATTATGTGCGAGAGTTTTAGCGGTATAGAATTGAAATCAAATGCAATTTAGTATTATTCTTGTATTATGTATCCAGTGTCCTAATTTATTATAATGTAATGATTTTTTTTTTGTATGATGGTATTACGATCAATTAATGTACTAAACTATAACTAAATAAAGGGAGCAATAACCACTAAAGCAGTTGCCCGTAAGTGCCGTCTTTGAACTGAGTGGCATTTAACGTGGTAATGATGATACACTACACAAGTCCAAGCATGAAGCCTGACAAATCAAATTGTGCAATCACTTTTGAAAAGAGAACAGACGAGTAAGGGCGAACATACAACTTATGCGTTCCCTGGCGGATATTTACTCCTAGCTCGGCTCTCCCTAACAGCGCCTAATATCGGCAGGAACATAGCGATGTACCATGATAGGAAATAGCATCTCAAACGGCGGTAATGCTGTTCATTTCAAACAGGCGATGCACCATAAAGGATTACTAAGCCAATTCCGTAATGTATAAAGGCAAAAGTTCATTGTATTAAGGGCCGGGCATACTTCAAGCGATTTCAGTCGCGACGCGATTTGGCAATGTTCCAACCGTTCATAACTCACTGCACGCACATTTTAAATGTACAGAGGATAAGGCATTTTATCAATCCAAGTAAGTTAGACGCTCTATGCATGTGCAGTTTGCTAGTGTTGAATATGAAGACTTCTGGCGAAGTGCCAAATCGCGTCGCGACTGAAATCGCGTGAAGTATGCCCGGCCCTTTAGGGTGATCCAAAAGTAATGGGGCACCTTGATTTTTTTTTGAAAATTCTTCAAGATCTCTTTCTGATTAGCTATGAACAACTAGCGATTTAAACGCTTTTTTATAAAGTGACCTTCGCAGGTTATCCTGACAGCACTTTGCAGCACCTCACCGACATACCTTCAAGTGGCGCTTCAAAGAAGTCAGACAGACTTTTTTGAACGCCATCCGAATTTGTGCTGCTGCACCTGAAGGATCCTCGACATATGGCATACCATTCGAAAGAGCTTTCCAAGTTCTTTCTAAAGATTACTTGAATATTCAAAAAATGCCCACTATTACATGCAAAAAAGGCACTTTATTCGAAAATGTAGGGGTGTTTGGCGCAGATTTTTAGACTAAAATTCATGTTTTGGCCCACAATTTTTTGAAAACGAGGAAAGTCGAAGTAATTTGCATATGTGTGGATAGAGCGTAAAAAGCACTATCAGAAAGCAACTGTTAAAGTTGCGCTTATTTGATTATCTTGATGAAAGAATAAGTACTATGTCTCTTGATACCAAATGCTATATCTTCTATTCTAAAGCCTTGGGACCACCGAGCTACTGTGGATTTGGTGACAGTCCCCTCACCCATTGCTGCGCACATACCTTTGATAGGCTCGTTTGTTCTACTGCGGCACTGCTGATCAAAGTTCAAAATTACTTGAAGTGATGAGCTTTAATTTTGAGCGCTTATAAAGATAACGCCATATGGCAGTGCCCAACTATAGACCTCGATCAAAAGGTTTTGTTATGTACTAACATCTGCCAAAACTTGGACTTCCAATTAGCTTTTCTTTTTGAGAAAACTGCATTCATTCTCTAGGTGCCCCATTACTTTTGGATCACCCTAATAGTCTGAAACGATATGCTCAAATCTGTTACCATCTGCTGAACGCTTGCTAAAATACCATTTCACGGTCAAGCAGCTTTGTGGATGAATAGAATTTACGAATTACAGCAGAGGTACGGTTTGTTAAATGCGACTTTCATATGTACATGGGAAGTTACAGGTACCCTGTTGCGGGCACTTCTTCTCGCGAAGTAGTACGATCATACTCTTTTTGACAACTTCAGCAGATAGGGAATGCGATCTATGCCTTGCCACAATCGGGACCTTCTTACAATTAGTACCCTTCATCAGGATCGAGAGCAGGCCAGCAAAGAATAAGCAAGAAGCACAAGGTGAAAGCAAGCTCAAAGTACGACAAATGATATGATTCTCAATATAAAAGCGATGCCAAGCATGGTCATACTCATTTTTGACTAGTTACTCGAACTATACTGGTTTGCTAGAATGAAGCCAACTGACGCTGCACATTACTCTACTGACTTGAAGGTATATGAATATGCACTGTATGATGTTGAGAGCAGCCCTTTTGCACCATGATGTTATGCTACTGTAGCCTGTTATGCAAATGTTGCGCGAAGTTACGGTAGCACACGGTACATATGTGCAAAAAGGACCCATAAAAAGCGTTTACTTCCAATAAGATTGTTAAGATTGAGCAAGGACGTAAAACAGCAGCAATTATGCAGTATTCGTTCTTTTGGGATGAGCAGCCACCAAATAATTTTTGCACAACTGAAGTAAAAATGCAGCTACAACCGACGGTGACGGTACGATTATATTACACTTGACATCTAAAACCCAAACTTATTCTTGTAACCCTTTCAGCTTCCGAGAACAACGACTCAAACAATTTCATTGGAGCACGAAGATAAGGCACTAGATTCTCACAATTCTAGAGAAGAAAGCTCTCACAAAAGGTTTTGTTTGAAGTAGATAAAAATTACTGTACAATCATATACGACCGCACTGCAGCTAAAGAGCGAAGGTTTAGCGGTAATGAGCTCAGCGATAAGATTTAAATGAGTGATACTGTAATTTCAACCTCTCCAGACATATGGTCGTCTCCACGATTCGTGTAGAGGCGGGTTGCAAACTTTCTCTGATTTTAAGGATGAACTTGAATCTCCACGTCATAGCATTGTCTTTCGTGCTCCCTCGCTATCAAAAACCGCCACGCTTTGAGTTGGCAAAACCCCGCCTCTACACGAATCGTGGAATCGATGTAAATTTTTGACTATGACTTTTTCTTTTATTTTTGAAGACATTTTCTTGACAAAACAAATTTTTCTCGCTTTTATTTGCATTATTTGCAGCAGTTACATCTGATTCAGAGTTTTAGGGCTTATTCTTGTGCCACTCCTGTGATCTCTTCGCTTAAAATAGCCGTTTGAGGACACCAGAAGTTGGCGAACCCTCTTCCTTTAGTCGCCCCTTCTCGTTCGCCTAAGGTCCCCAACGGATTCCTCCGTTGGGGTCAATTGGTCAGCCGCGCCCTGGTAGACTGTACTTTATAAGCGTCCGCGTAAGGCCCGGACAGACTTCACGCGATTTGATCGTCGCGACTCAATCGCCGACATTTCCATTCATTTTCATTTTACATTCAAAAATTTCGGGCTGGAAAAGTATTACAACCGAAATGCAAGTTGATCGGCATGGAATGATGTTGTAAAAGTTGTCTCGTCGCGATTCAGTCGCGACGATCAAATCGCGTGAAGTCTGTCCGGGGCCTAAGGGAACAGGAGTTCCGCAGAGGATTCCTTACCATCCTATGAAGGAGAACTACTTGTTAACTACAGAAGGGACTTTGTATAAACCATGAAATCTGAACTGCTGTACATCTTACTTCTTGTGGTTGTTGCTTTCGCTGCACCTTGTGTGTATCAAAAAAATAATAAATAAATATTTGACCGTAATCCACCTGATTTATTATTTATTTATTTATTTAATACGCACAAGGCGTGCCCATACAACAGAAAAACGAAGTATCACACCAAACAACCAGCAACAAAAAATAAAACAAAAAAAGGCAAACTCCCCACTAAATCAGTTCAAGTCCAGTCCGCAAAATCTTTCTCGGAATGGGAAGGGAGTGAGCTTATTTAGACATATATGAAGTCATCATAGGTATAGAGGTTCAATGGAGTCTGCCTCATGCCCCCTGCTCTTAGCAAAAAATGCTCTATTTCAACACCAATGCGTCACCTCTGCTTCGCAGAGGCTCGCACTGGCCCTACTTTCTGTATGCCTAACTCATTCTCGCATAATATGACATTGAAACTCACCGAGCCATGCAGGCTATCACAAATGATTTGTAAACAGTTACTCATTCCTAAAGCTTTTTTGTGTGACGTCGGTATTTTCGCGTGGATGAAAATTTTCCAAGAAGAATTAATGCGAATTTGAATCGGTTTTTAAACTTTTTATGGCCTAATAGTCGCCATAACGACCATAATCACCGTGAGCTACATCCCTGTGCAAAACTCTTCCCAAACGACCAGATAAAATCTTGGCAAATTGAGCGTTTATGCAACTTATTCTTTTTGGCCCGTTTTCGTAAACTAATCAACTTTAGTTCAATTGTTTAGGTCAATGTAGATGGCTTGCACATTAGCTTGTCGACCATATCATGACTTCGCAAAAAGTGTTGGTACCGGCCCAATTTTGCTGGTTATAAGCCAAGTGGATCCGTTTGACGCAAAATTTTCAACGGGTCCACTCAACGGATCCGCTCAAACTTTTGCATGGTGGGCTTTCATGCAGGTAGCGTGGGCTATGCAAAATTTGAGCTTAGGACGTTGGCTGGAACACGCTCTACGAATTTCGTAACGGACAGACAGACACACACACAAAAAAACGTAAACACCCTTAGCCCGTTATTATAAGTTACCAGTGCGTCACCTCCCCTTCGCGGAGGTTCGCACTGGCTCCCTACCCGTATACCTTTCTCATGTTCGCATGAGAATGGCTTTGAAACTCACCACGAGATGCTGAGCATCGCAAATGAATCGTAAACAGCTGTTCATTCATGAAGCATCTCCATGTAAGATCGGTAATTTTGGGAAAAAAAACTCCGTTGCAAGGAAACAAACGCGAATTTGAACGGATCACTGAATTTATTTTAGTTTGATAACCGTCATAAATATAATAGTGACCTTGGGCTACATTCCAGTGCAAAAATCTTTTCGGTTTTTTTCAAAAAAAACGTTGACAAATCGACTATCTACGCGTTCATCACTTTTTGGCGCTTTTTTCGCAAAAAAGCAAACTTTTTGAGCACTTTTTGGGCTAGAATTCATGGCGCGCAGAGTTACTTGTCAGACAAATCATAACTTTGCAAAAAGTCGAATTAGCGACCCAGTTTTGCGCGCCAAAAGGCGCGTGGACCCGTGTGAAGCGCAATTTTTGAGAAACCCGCTTATCGAACCGCTCGTCTTGTGCATGGTGGGCCTACACGCTGGCCCGGTATGTTATGCAAAATTGCAGCTTAGTTGCAGCTTCCTCTGTAATTTTCGTGATAGACAGATTTTCACACAGACACGCACACAAAAAAACAGACGGCCTTAGCGCGTTATTATAGTAGGATAAGCAACTGTATATGTTGGAAGCAGGTGTATCGGTGGTAATATTGATTTGAGAAAATCGCCCAATCAAAACTCTGGGGAGAGAGCAGAACTCCGGAAGAGATTGCACAATGCAAAAGTGTCAAGCCCAAACAAGCTAACCCAAGCATAACGAAAGTGATAAGATGGAACCAGACCCAAACTAACGCGTGGGGCATGAAAATGTTAAAAGAAAACCAAACAAAGAACGGCAATGATTTGAACAAAGGTCCAATGAAGTGGTAAACTCTGATCTAACATAAACTACAGTCCAACAAAGCATTCGTTTTCGCATTCCCTCGACCACAATCAGCCCAGAGTAAGGATCAACATGAGACAGGCGGAGCCGTGTGCCGTCAAACGAAAAAGATAGTGAAGCGCATGGACAAGAGCGAGAATCTAGAAAGAGGACTATTGAGAGATAAATAAAATAGAAGGAAAAAGAAGGGAACAAAAGAAGTGCAAAGAAGATAGCCTCAGAACCAAACCGTAGGAGAACCATAACAACCGTAAGCCCTAAAGACCTAAACCCCAAAAGAATCTGAACACAAATATTAGAAACGCAACGCAATCAATAAGAAGTATCACCGCTCAAAAGTTGAAACAAATCAGCTTTTTTAAAATTTTTTCTTGAAGGCATCACCGCCACGCACTGACACAATATCAACGGGTAAGCGCTGAAGCCATCTTGCACAGCGGAAGAACAGGTAGCTGAATATACCAGACTGATGTAGCTTGATAGGTTTATAATGCAGAATGAAACCACCTAGCCTCGTACCAACAAATTTGAAGATCCAAAATTTGCTTGCTTTTAATTTTATTTCCATACGCATGAATATGAATACGAAAACAAAAGACCGGGTCGGATATCATGCGTCTAATTCTGAGAGGAGTCAAGCCCAATTTATTAGAGCGTAGGTGACAGTCTGGAGTATCAACTAGTGTTCCACCACTCGCACGACGGAAGACCAGGCGGGTAAAAGTCTGCTGAACTCTTTCAATCTTCAATCTTATATCTTTTTTTCGGGAAGGAGTCCAAACCTGCGAACAGTACTCAAGGTGTGGAATAACATAAGCTTTGTATAACCGGGATAGTATTATAGGATTACGAGTTTGTATATTACGAAGGATTGTAAATAGAGTGGCATATGCCCTGTTGACAACTGAATCAATATGCTTAGGGAATTTCAAATCACAATCGATAATAACTCCCAGATCTTTCACATCTTGGCAAGCAGTCATCTCAACTCCATCAATTTTACACGAGTTGAGGAATGTTTGCCGAGATGGAGGAAGGAACATTTTCTTGGGTTGAGAGGGAGTCCATGCTGAGACCCAAGCACACATTTTATCAATCGATGACTGCAAAGCATCATAAACTGTGTCAAGGTTGTCTTCATCATGAGATGCATATATCTTTGTATCGTCCGATTTGTACGTGTACATTCAATGTTTTTAAAGTATCAGATAGGTCCAAAGTGTATACCAAAAATAACAAAGGAGATAGGACAGCTCCCTGAGGAACTCCACTGGGACAGGGAAATTTTCTGGAATATTCATGACCAATCTTTACCGTCATGCATCTATTGCTCAAGTAAGACTCAAACCAAGTTAGTAGGTTTTCCGAAATTCCGATATTCTCTAGTTTGCAAAGAAGCAAACGGTGAGGTATTCTATCAAAGGCCTTGGAAAGGTCGAAGTATATAATATCCACAGATTTTCCCGAACTCAAGGCTAATTTCCAATCAAAAACGGCCTCAGTAAGATTAGTTGCAGTTGACTTGCCTGGCACAAAGCCATGGTGCTCGGGCGAAACAAGATGGAACCTCTCTAACCAAAGTAGCAATTTACTTCTAACAATTCTTTTCATAATCTTGATGAGCACAGAATTATGGCTAATGGAGCGAAAATCGGCAACACTTTCAACTGCGGAAGTTTTAGGCACAACTGTAACAATGGCTTTCTTCCAAAGGGAGGGAATCTCACCGAAGTATAGGGAAAGATTAAATATATCAGCAAGCGGTTTGGCAAGAGTATCTGCACACATTTTATAGAGTATCTGAGGGATGCCATCGTACGGCGAGCAAGGCTGGGGTCCCGCCACGTAATGATGGCGTGCGCGACCGCCCGCGCAGCCAGTTAAGTAGATTTAAATGGCGCCCATCTGCGGCTAGCTTGTCTGCACTTTCTCCAGTCTCTTCACTCTCCAGACAGCGCGCTTATGCTGCGCAAATCTAAAATGCGAGCGCGCAAATTCAAATCAAAGCTCCGGCCTGATTTCAATTGAAGCAGAGTATTCTTTCTGTCCTAATCTGAGGGCAAAGCGTCCAGCATGTGTCAACTATTGTTAGTAGTTCCTTTCACGTACAAATATGCATTCGCACCGCAAAGATCTCGCGTGCGGACCTCCAATCGAGGCCGTGAGCGCCCAACCCCTACGTGCGCAAACGTGGCGCGAAGCTCTGGCGCGGCGGTTGCGCCGTTTGAAAATGGAGTACGTGATCGACACAGATTGTAGGTTCTAGGCGAGATAATCAAACTTGTCGTCCCGGCACCACAAATCTTAGAAAAAAAATTTATTAGAGTCTTTTCATTGCAGCAACAACCTTGAGAATATGTTAGAAATGCAAATAGAAGAAGAAGATCCCACTCAAAGCGACATCACTCCCAGCACATCTGAATGCTCAACAGATCTAATACCCGCTCAAGAATCACAAAACGTCTACAATCCTACTGTCATCTCAGAAGCAGACCTTCCATATCATACATTCTATGACGCTATGATACAAAGAAGAAATCAAGAAAGACAAATAAGAAAAGCGGAGCAGTTCCTAAGGAACAGCGTTTTACTAGCCACACATGACCAAGTCTATAATGAGTCAGGTATGTTTGCTCGGCTTTGATTGAAGACGCTGGCTTGAAACTGGCGTAGTGTTTTCTGCCAGTTGCCCATATTTCCATTTCAATTATTGGTTACCGAAGAAAGCATACTTTACATTGTGGCATGAAAAATCCCAAGAGAGTTTTTTAATGTTGAGAATGCTGATCGGACGCGACAAAAATGCCAGTCATAAAACAACCATAAAACTAAAAAAACTCATGAGACAACCATACCATCTTGATGGTATGGTTGTCTCATGAGTTTTTTTTTCAATTTTGACTTTCTAAAGCAATAACTCACACACCTGTCAATTTTGATTATAATGCAAGATGTTCGATAGAGCAAAGCAAGCTCTATAAGATGGCGTAAATGTTTGCACCAGCTTCAGCACATCATGAGTTAGAAGCCGAAATCTGGGAACTTCTGGATGCCCAAAAAATTGAAAATTTTCTGTAACTTTGCCCGAAGAAAACTTACCAAAGCCCAAATTCGCTCACGCATATACACTCCACAGAACACATTCATATGTGCCGTGCTTTGGTTGTTTCTATGCTGAAAACCGAGAAAACTGAAATTTTCCAAGCTTTAAAGCGATGCTGCGCTTTTTTCACTCAGATAGATGTTTACTGCAGACCTATAGAAGTACAGTCACAAAATTCCCAGCTTTCTACAAACTCTAGTTCCCAAGAAGTGTTAATTTCAACATGGTATTTGTCAACAACAAGCGCTTCCGGGAAGCTGAAATTTACCGATGTATTACTAAAAGCCTGTAGTATACATTTACTGTGTGAAAACAGCGCAGCACTGCTTTTTTGGAGGCATGAAAATTTTAGTTTTCTCGGTTTCTAACACAGAAACAAAGACAGCAACGGCACATATGAATGTGTTCTGTGGAGTGTGCATGAGCGAGTTTGGGATTTGGTAAGTTTTCTTCGGGCAAAGTTACAGAAAAATTTCAATTTTTTGGGCATCCAGAAGTTCTCAGATTTCGGCTTCTAACTCGTGATGTGCTGAAACTAGCGCAAACACTTACATGCCATCTTATAGAGCTTGCTTTGCTCTATCGAAAGGTTACCTGCATTATAATCATGGTCAAGCTGGGATGTGGCACGCCACACCTGAGGGTCGTGTTGAGGAGTCGACAGGGAGGGCTTCGTAAGCAGCTTGTCAGGTAATTCCATTATGCGAAATACAAGCACATAAGAGATTGACAACCTCAGCATAATAAAAACGTGCTACGAAGCTTAAAGAGTATCATATTCATATTTAGCATGGCAGTTAACCCCTGTAGACAAAGTTTGAGCGAATTCTGAAGAATCAAGACACTAGGCCGCCTAAGTGAAATGCTCATTTTCCAACAAGATTAACTTATTTTCAAAGATGAATAAGCTACTCATTTTGCGCTCAAGACAAAGCACTACTCCTTATTTGTCCAACTCAGAGATTCCGCCTCAAAAGACCTCCAAATTGTGGAATTAGAAGTCAACCAAAATTTCGTTTTTCCCTCTTTTCGGTTTTGATGGCTGTGTTTTCACCAAATATTTGGTCGTTCCGAAAGTAATGTCGCTTTTTTCGAACGTACGCCACAACTTTTGGAACAACGATGTGTAAAAGATTCCGGAAGCGTTTGATGCAGTATTTCATTCTCTTTCTAATGGATATATAGACATTGCATAATAATCAATAAGCTTTCAAAAATTTACCAAAATCTGCGACCCATGCTTTTTGAAGAGATCAAGTTTTACAATTTTTCTAAATTTTCATAACAACCCTTGGAAGAAGTCCAAGTAATGGATGGATAGAGCAACTCCTACAGGAAACAGCACAACTTTTTTCTACTTTCTAGAGCTCGTCATAATTTTTGTATAGATTTTTTGATGAAACGAACGAATTTTAGCAGGCTCGTCTCAGACACAAATGCATCAAACACCAATAAATCTTCGGATAAAACTTACAAAGTTGGATTATGGTTTAGCGCTAATTTTACAAACCAAATGAGTATTTACCGCTTACCGCTACCGCAGATTAGCAACTTTCGAAAATTCCGGGTGCAGCCTGGGGCGCCCTGAAAAACCTAAATTATGATGATTTTTTACCGGAAAACTTGATGAATGGGAAACAAAAAACAACTGGTAGAAAGATGAGAAAAAGCTGCTCCGAATGACACCCGAGTTGCTTGCCGGTTGTTGTTCTGTGAGGTTTAAATTGACCAAATATCGAATTTGATGACATTAAAAAATCGATTCCAGAAACTCCAAGAAGCAGGCTAAGGAAAAGAAAAAAGTTATTCTGCGTCCTTTCGGGTTTGCTCTATCTACCTGTCACTTGTGCTTTTTTGGAAAATAGGTACAAGAATTTAAAAAAATAGCCAAACTTGGCCACGAAAAAAAGCATGAGTCGCAGATTCTCGTAATTTTTTGAGAACTCATTGAATATTGTGCAATAAAATTACAACCATTAGAAAGAGGATGAAATGCTGCATCGAATGCTCCTAAGATCTCTTGAAAATCTTGATTACGTGAAATGTGGCGTTCATCTGAAAAAAGCGACATTACTTTCGGAACGACCTAATATTACTCAGACCTAAGAAGACGAATCAGGCCCAAATCACTTCTTTGAAATCTACGCGATTTATGTTATCGTTTCATATAGATACTGTTCGCTAAAAATGTTTCTTTGATAAAAAAATATTTCTATAGTTAATGGGGTGTGGCACAACCTCTCAAAAGGTGTGGCCGCCACAGCTTTTAGGGGGTTGTGCCACACCCCATTAACTATATCAAAGAAACATTTTTAGCGAATAGTATTTATATGAATCGATAACATAAATTTCGTGGTTGATTAATCGCTCGCGCCTCAGCCTTCGGCTCATTTCACTTCCGAAAATCGGAAAAAAAATTAAAAAAACCCAATCTGGCAGATTCAGCGCAACAGGGGGCTAAAAATGATAGAGAATTTAGACTGGAGATATGCCAGCTCAGACTTGAATGACTACTCACACAACTAAATGAACTTCCGCAGAACTGGAAAAGGTATGCCTGGTCACCTGCGGAAGTTCCGTAAATGCCGCGGAAGCTCCCAAATAAGGGGCGGGAGTTCCGAAGAATGCGAAAGCAAAAGAGAACACCTAAGCGAAGTTTAAACCTTTTTAATGAAGCGAAACTCGAATACTATCCTTACAAATGACATGTTCGACAATGCACTCTAGTTGTTGGCAAGAGAGCATCGTAGGAGACAACACACTAAAAAACCTGCGAAGTATTGGCGAGTCAAAGTGCGGAACCGCTGGCATTCTTCGGACTTTCGCAGCGTTTTGTAAAACAGGTCCTGCGAAGTTCCTGTTTTCAACCAGTCTGACGCGGAAATCCTGAGGAGCTTGTATAATAGTAAACAAAATGCTGCGAAACCGCTGCAAACTTTGCTTGTTCTGCAGAATTTCCGGTCGACTGTCTGAGTAGTGATCGAAAAAAGAGGTAAAAAACATGTCACCCAAATTTGATCCTACGTTTGAATCTCCAACTTAACTTTTGTGGTACAAACATTTTACGCATAGAGTATCGGAAAGTTTTAGTCACTACTGTCCGGCAATCAACAGAGTACTGCGATATTGACGCAAATGATGATGCTACGCTTTGGATGTTACTGCAGCTGTCTGCTAAGAAGTTAAGAGGGCAGGTGAGCCAGAAATGGAAATTTGGATGTAAGTATGAATGTAGCAGATTTCTTCATTTGCTCTCCAAATATTTACTCAAAAATAAATATATGAATGAAAGCCTTAGAGCGCGGATGGCGCCTGTACTTCCATATGTTGCGATTTCATTGGAGACTATAACAATGACCTTACTAGAAGAATTTTTGTTAGAGCTCATAAGGCTCAAAAGCGCGCAAATTTACATAGAACTCAATCAGAATACAAAAAAATTCCAGGGCTGCAAATTAGCTGAAGTTTTCACATATTTCTTTCCAGACCTGGCCATATAGAAATCGTGACGATCTACGTGAGCTGCTACTAATACAACATGTTGCAGAAAAAGCTTTCAAACATCTTTTTCCACCTATTAAACTTTGAATGGTAAGTAAATACCTACCTATCTGTAGATCTAAAGCCACATAAATTACCAAAAACATGAGAAGTTCGTTTACATGGTCCGAGCGAAGCAGCTTGATAAAAAGTAAAAAAAATCACTTTAAAGCTTATAACAGAGCTCAAACAGGAATGTCGTGATTAGATTCTATTCAGATTTGCAAAACAGACACGGACTGGCAAGGATCTGAGAAATTTTGTGTTAATACCTTTCAATCAAAGATTTTACTCTACCGAATTTCGATCATGATGAGACCCATTTTGTAGAAGATGTCCCATATTTCCAAATGTTTGAATGAAAAAATGAGTTAAACAAGAAGATATTTCATAAACTCTCAAATAAACATATTAGATATTTATTCAGCTTTGTAAACAACAATCGATGTATCGATCGGTAACATGGATCGATGTATCGATTAGTATGCGCCGCGCATTTTTCTATCAGCGCCACGTTGCTTAAAGGCGTTTTTATGACGTTCTTTCATCTGTCGCTGTCTGCCACCGGTGTAGCCGCTTCTTGACGTTTCGTCTAGAAAAATTAAATTAATCTTGAGGAGCTAAACCTGTAAAACAGAAACTGAAGCTGAACCATTGCCTCGTTTTGGTACTGAATAGCAATAAATTCAAAACGTACTTGTTGTAGTAGCAGTCGATGAATCGCCTGTTCCAGTTTTTTGAGTGCCGGCTGAAAGAAACTTACTTTAACGGATTTCTGTCAAAGGTGGTCAACAAATCTGAGCAACTGAGTTCCCCATGTAAAGCCGTTTGAAAGACCTAGACTAAAATGTCACAAAGGCGGAATTCATATTATTATTTCTGGCTGAAAAACTCAAATTTAAATCACGTCCAGAAGTGTAATTTTCAACTTGTGCCCCGAAGGGACGGTAGGAAAGTTAGAACTAAATATCTTTGCCGCAAATGTTTAATGTGGGCAGCGCTTGGAGAACGGCTGGGTAAAGATATCCCAATCAGACCTAAGAAAAAAAAATTACCCAGATTTGCATGGATAATATACACGAACAATTCGAAGTCTATAAAATAGGTGGAGCGGTGTCGTCTTCCGTAATGAACCCAATTCTTATCAACGTCAACTCTTACCTCCACCTCCTCTTCTATAGTATGTAGTTACACCCCCACCACGTCCTCCTCGTGTGGGTTTTCCTTGCTGAGAAGGAGCTGGAGCGCTATCTGTTTCTTCCGAATCTTCTTCGCCACTTTCTTCCGATGTCGATTGTGCACTGCATTCAAATTGATACTACTTCTACTTTACATTTTCTCACAATGGACTCACTTCAGGGGTTCAACTTTGAACTCTCTTTGCTCATAACCATCATCATACTCATCATCATAGACATCATCATCAGCTGCCGTTTCGTAGCGATATTTCTCATAAGAAGGTCGTATCGCAATTTTATCTGTTTCTGATATTTTCAGTTTCTTGATGCCAGCATACCTAAAACGGATTAGGACATACATAAAAACGTTACCTCAGGATTACTTACTTCTTAGCAGTGGGCATGGGAACTAATCGTTCACCATTAAGTCCAAACTGAGGCTCAAACGCATTCTCTATACCAGACGCACGTAATTTCAAGCTTTCCAAAGCTTCTCGAAGTTTCTTCATTACCTGTACGGGAAAGCAATAATCTAATTTGTTTCAAAATAGTACAACTTAAAAAACTTACATCACTAACGGGCTTTTCTGCAGGCTCGGTCTTTGCTGTAGGAGGAGGTACAACAGGAGCGAGACTAATGAGACCCTGGAAAAGTCAAAATCTGGAATGCACGGACGAATAAGTTGGTCAGACGTGGCATACCCTAAACACATTTCTCCCCTCCGGTTCCTTCGGACCCTGGGAGGTAGCAGGTTTTGGCTGTGAAGCACTTTGCTCTGGACGTAGTATCGTCGACATTAACAGCTCTAAAATAATAGCAATTGATTCAATTTTGTCTTCAAACTGTAACGAAGCCCTCTCACCTTCGTTCTCAAACGAAAATGCTGGCAGTGTTGGGGGTGCATTTGATTTTGACGTTAGATCCGCCGCTTCTACTCGACGTAGTGCCAGCGGAAGTGAGGAGTCACGAGCCAGCAATGCATCGATGGCTTTGGTAGCATCGTAACCGAAGTGGCGTAAGCATAACTAGAACAAAAAGAACTTAGACATCTATATGGACGTAGTTTCCACTCTAAAAACGAGATTACGTAAATCGCGCTCAATCTCAAGTCAATTTATCAATATCGTCTACATCGGGTTGACCCTACTGAAACTGCTGATCGCTCTTTTGACGATGGAAAACCCATGGCTGATGATTTTTCTCAGCAAAACCAGACACTGTTAAATAACTCACATGGATATATTGCGCAGACAAGTTTGAAAATATCTGAGACATTTCCTCCATCGCTTGACGACCTGCATCGTCGAGAAGAGTAACATCGCCAAGACCCTGAAAAAAATTATCATGAAAAATCAACTTCAAAAGTTGAAAGTTAATTGTAGTCAAAAAAGAATGTTGACTCCCCGACGCATGTATTTTTTGCACAAGTGCATGATTTTCTTGATGTATCTTGTTCAGAATGACAAAGTTGTAGATGTTTCACTGACAGTATTTTTGTTTGCCTAGCTTGTACTCCTTTCGATTTTTTTCTTTTCCCAAATTTTTGACTGCTTCTCCAGAGTTGGCATGGAAAAAATGTATTACAAGAAAATCGCAAGGACACTATGAAAACAAGAGTGAAACTCAAAATGTTATCTGGGGACGCTTATGGAGCATTGATTCAAGGAAAGCTGCATACCTAATCTATTGAAAAAAAAATTTCTTGTTTTTGTACTAATAAGGAATTTACCACCAGACGGATCACGTACCAAAAATCCTAGGCGCATACAATTATTATACAATCACAATTATTATACATACGATTATTTCAATGCTTGTCAATTTATTTTCGCATGTTCGTACTCCCAGATTCGGGAAAAGCGGCGTCATAGCAGCAGCCACGTCCCGAAATAGAAACTATACAACTACTTTGGTTCTTATAAATATCCTAACTACATACCAAAAATCAAGTCTCATGCATGATTTTGAAAGAAAAGATCTTCCAAAGTTACATGATCTACCAAGCAGCCTACTCTCACTCCTCAGCACTTCCTATCCAATTTCGGCCCCGAAGGGCCAATGCAAAAATTGACAGGGAGGCGACCCCTAAAGAGCGCATAGTGAACCCGTCGATTCACTGGCGGCGCCCACCACCTTTACTCGACCTTCTTTGTCGGGTGGATTTCTGGCGGGGTTTTGCGCCCCACGGGGGGACGTGCACCCAGCACCCTCGCCGGTCCCTGGAATCACTGAGCACACCTGTTCGCCGCAAACAACATCGACGTGTTGGGACTTGTTCCGTACATTCGCCGAGTCGTGCTGGTGTAATCAATGTGGGGAATTGCGGCGCCAGGATGACATTAGAAACAGAGGTAATAAACAGATTCTGCTGTATATTTTCTAAACTTAATAAGGGAAAATTTGAATTTGTTTACCAATTCATAGCTATGTCTGAAAATTTGATCTGATTAACCAATCAGAACTTCGAAAAAAATTCTATCAAAATTTCCAACCTTGGCACAATCAGATTCTTCAATCCCGACGTGATTTCACCCGTTTAACGTGACAAAGTTGAAAATGAACACTCCTCAGCTAGGTCAAAGCATAACTTTTGCGTCCGAACTTTCGAAAATTGTAATTACCTTCTCTTCAACAAATCGCTTGGCTCAATAAATGTAAAAGGGGAAAATATGCACTTTTGGCGGAGTAAGAATGAGAATTGAGTTGGCACATGTTGGAACGGTAAGCTGACAGAGAAAACGAGCAAATAGATAATTTCGAACAATTATAAATTCAATTTTTCTAATAGATTTTGGTGCAAGAACTTGAACGAGGAACAGTAAAATCCACTTCAGAATGCAATTTGGCTGATAAGCTACTTTCCCCAAGAAAAGAATCCGTTGTGATCAAAAATTTCTACAGACTGATTTATGTGGCAATTCAAAACTAGAGTTCAATTTTGTATTGGGTGAATCTCCAATTAAATCTCCAATTACAAAATAAAAATTCTGGAGCAATTTTTCTTAGAAATTTCCCAATTCTATTAGCAAAACTTGCGTTTTCGGGTAACAACTGCTAATTCACTACACAATGGATCTCAATTCAAATAATTTTCTGAACGAGAAATTCAGCATAATTTTTTAATGATTTTTTTTACCTTCAGAGCCTATCAGGTTTCTCAAGAAATCTCAATGATATCGAAAGATGAAATTTGAATGAAACAACTAAAAAAACAAAAAAGAATAGATAATAACTAATAAAAAATAGCTCAGATTATTTGAATAGTGCATATGATAAATGATAGAACTGCAAATGACTGTTTGAAAACTCTTCATGGACTGCGCCACAAAATAACTAGAAGGAGAATTTGACATTGTTAAATTAGCAAACCGTAACCTAAACAAATTTACTGGAACAGGTCGGGAGCATATTCTCAAAAAGTTTACTACGAATTTCCAATCATGTACAGTTGCTGAGTCTTATAGCCAGGATTTTTAGAAATTCTTTATTAGGCTTACGTTTGCCTTTTTTTAGATATTTCATTTGCTCCTTGTTTTTTAGGCTCTGACGGAGGCGAAAAGCCGAAATGTAAGCCTAACAAAGAACTTCAACAATCTTGGATATAAGGCTCAGCAACTGCACATAATTGTTCATCAAGATGCCAACATTTATAAAAAGGCAAAATTAGGAACATTTCCACCTTTCTATAATAACAATAAGAAGTATGAGAAACTTACAGTAAGCAATCCGCATTTGTCCAGCTCTTTGACAACTTCGGCTCGTTGCGATTCACAAATGGCCTCGAGAGCTCTTTCTATGTAATCTTTCTGTTCTTTTTGGCACCCTTCCACAAGCTCCATAAGATTTTGTTTCTCGTTGAGCAGATATATGAACCTAAATAATCTGTAGACTTCCACGTACGGAACCCTATTGTGTATGAGTTTACCTTTCCAACTCCAAAATAGACATAATGGTCGCTACTTTTTGGTCCTTTTGAGTTCTGATTAACACTGCGTGGTACAAATCAACCGCAGATTGTTGTACTTGCGTCCGTAAACGCAAAAGACGTCTGCAAAAAGCTTGATTTTTGATTTTAATTTAATTTTTAAGAAACAACTCCATCCAGAAAATCATCATATGCTTTTGGTTATCTGCTCGCTAGGCTAGAAAGGCATTTGCATATTTCTTAAAACTGGCTGCACATACCTCAAAGGGTAATCACTCAGGGTCATCGCCACATCCATTACGATCTCGGTAGTAAACAATTTTCCTACACCTTCCACAAGAGCAGGTAATCTAAATAAAAAAAGTAAGAAAAGTTTTCTGATAATCTAAATTAATCCTAGACAGTATTGAATAGACAGAGAAACCAAAAAAATAGGGTAGGAAATTTCAAAAACCCCCAAGAAAATGCGAGAAAACCGCTGAAATGGTCCGTCTATAAGAGGTATAAATTATGCAGATAACTTGCATTCATTCTGAATAATCAAAATGATTAGTTTGTATAAAAAAAGCAAATGTTATTGTAAACAAATTTGCTGCTGTAACGCCATCATTCCTCGTAATTCTAGACTTAAAAGCTTGTGAAAATTCGCGGTGGACCCCAAAATTCTTTGGAAAGCGGCTAAAAACCATAAATCTCATCGAAAAAATTTTGTAGCGCCCCTCTCCCTGCGAAAGAAATATTTGGGACTGCTGTTCCTCACAGCTACTATGATAATGTCATAAATTCTTACCCAGACACTGTTTTGATCGCATCCTTGACCAATCCGGCTTGTGACAACACATCCATTAGAGTATTACCCTCCTGGCACAGTGCCAAAGCGGTACAGAACCATTCGTCAATCGATTGAGCAGCTTTTACTTTGGCTACACCTTCTTGGAAATGAAACTTGTCGACCAAGTCGGTCATGTCTCTTTCTAAGCTCGGAAACATCTAAAAATATATGATGTAATAAAAAAAATTACAGTTAGCAGAAAATTTGGTCCTTACACCTTCCTGTAGTCGATAACTAGGAATAGCGATAAAAAACAGAACCGACTTTTTGACCGGAAATCGTTTTGTCTTTCAGCAAAGTGATGTCAAGAATGTGATGATAAGTTTTTCATAAAATTTCTGGGGTTATGTTTTAAAAAGCAATCTTCTGATCTAAAAAGTAAAATCGATTCCTTCCAACTTTCTGAATTGTTCATCACAGAATTATTAGTATATTACAACTCTCTGCACCCTAAAACGAAATAATTTTACAGCCAAGCCGGCAATTTGACGAGGTTTGGTTTTCTCACTGTGCAAATTTATTCGAGTAAATTTTTTCCACTTGTGTATGAATAATTTTATGGAAGCGCTACAAACCTTCTCAAGCTCCCCACAAATTCTTCGTACGTCATGGGAAAAGCTCGGATCCACGAGAGCACGTTTTTTCACGATCTAAGATAGGATATGGCAAACAAATCTGACTGCAGAGGCGCTGCAGCCATACTTATTGTTTCCAAACATACCTCGACCATTATTTGTCCGTTCTTGCTGAAGAAAGATATAGCACTAGCTAATCTTCTGCTATTCATAACATCGCGGTCTCGCACAAACTCGAGGTACTGTTTTGGCAAAAGTGTTGGATCCTAGAAGACATCGAGATCGTGCCATTCCTTAGAAGCAACGGTCTTACCGATTTTTTATTGTGAACAGCTACACAAAGAAAGAGAGCGAGTGTAGAATTATACAAACGACTCGCAGCCATGGCAGCGGAAGCGTCCCAACAGAAGATCAATCGATACTCATCAAACTCGAAGCGCCTAGATAGATGTTTTTACTATCCTTCCATTTAAATTTCCGCTCACATGAGGTCTGCCATAGAAGGTTCTAATTAATTTACCGAAAACAAGTTTAAGTTGTTACACAATCAAAAGGCACACTTTTTAGTAGCCATCTAACCCGTAGCTGTTCGCAGCGCTCAAGCAAAATGAACGCTACGCGACCGCACCGCTGCACCGGCCGTAACTTCGCCGTGTGTCTGCGTGTTTGGACTATGTCGCATACTACGCATTCAGCAAAAAATTACGTTGAAAATTTGGTAGAAGAAGTTATGAGTGATGAAAACTAAGTAGTTGTGCTGTAGTATTTGATTCATTTTTTTAAATACTTTTCGTGCCAAATCCCAAATTCATGGCTTACCTAGGTATAGCCTCCAACACAGCATCGAAGGACTCCATGATAGTTTTATTGTACACAACACTACTCCAGAACGATGCTGATGGTTGTTGAAGTATACGTTCATAGGTGAAAGCAAGCGTATTTGCTGCATTTTGCCAGTCAGAAAGATCAGTTGGAGACGACTTGTACGGCAAACGTTCGATAAGTTGGCATTTCGCTTTATCCGCTGATGATTCCGCCTGAAAATGACCAGTACTCCTTACATATTATATAAATCATTTTATTTTTCAGCTATGTCTCTGACTTTTAAATATTCAGGGTCAAGCGTGGGGTGCGGCACGCCACACCTGGGGGGTCGTATTGAGGAGTCAAAAGGGGAGGAGGTCGTAGTTGTAATCTGATAATAATGATAACATGATATTCGTATCATATCCATAATTAGCATGTCAATTAACCCCTGTAAACAAAGTGTGAGCGAATTCTGAAGATTCAAGATACTAGGCTACCTAAGTGAAATGGTCAAATTCCAACATGGTTAACTTTGTTTAAGAGGTGAGTTAGCTATCCGTTTTTGCACTTAAGACAAAGCACTACTCCATCTTTGTCCACCTCAGGAATCCCGCTTCAGAAGACCTGCAAACTGTGGAATTAGAAGCCTACCAAAATCTCGTTTTTCCCATTTTTCGCTTTTGATCGCTGTGCTTTCACCAAATATTACTTAGAGCTAAGAAGACAAATCAGGCTCCAAACAGTCCTATGGAATCTACAAGGTTTAGGCTATCGATTCATATAATCACTGTTAGCTAAAAATGTTTTTTTGATATAGTTAAGGGGGTGTGCCGCACCCCCTTAACTTGCCTTCAAAGTCCAGAAAGCGCTCCATTGCTGGTATGAGTATTGAGCACATAGCTTCTTCTTGCTACATTGGAAATTTGGAGCCAAACGCCCCACCCATTAGAAAATTATGGCCCTTTCAATATGCCCATTCAGATCAAAATCAGCCGTCAAATTACGTGTGATTGTAAAGTGCAGTCACAGAAAATCGGGCGTACAGCTCTCAGAAATCTGAAAACTCTCTAGAAAAAGATGGTGTCCTCCAGAATGTTACACTTTCAGGTCCAGAGGTTTAGAGTAGGAATAAGGGGTCGTTTGAGGGCTTTCATGGGAGGGGAGGGGGGTTTTCTATAGACTTGTGCCTGGCCTCTTTCTCAACTCTGGTAATGCTATCTTAGGGATATAGTTCAGGGGGGGGGGGTCTTATTGAGAAAGCAATCAGGGGGGGGGAGGTCGTAACCAGCGATGTGTGCCACACCCCTTGCTTGACCCTGTATATATTATTTTGTTTTTCAAGTTATTTTCAATCGTTTCGCAAAACATCGATGAGTAAAAGGTGTTTGTTCTTCTCAATCCCAAAAAAAAGTCTCTAACCTTTTGTTACTCTATATATGCAATGGAAAAACTGATTCAAGCATTCCTAAATAGATTAAAAATCATAAAAATGCCCACAGCATAATTCTGGCCAATAGCAAACATTAGCAAACATGATAAAATAATTTGAACTTCGAATTTCTTGAAATAATGCTTAAAATAACAATTCTACCTCACTCGGAGACAGCCAAGGTGAAAAAATCAGGCAAAAACAAAAAAGAATTGAACTCACCAGATTCATTGCTATATTCTATTCGCAGTAAGGAGAGAATTTTCGGTGCTGATGTAGGCCTGAAAAAAAATTTTTTTCCAAAGACAAGTGAGACGGGGTGGGCGGGATTGCGCAATATTGCGCATGAATCTAGAAAAGAATGCTGAAAAAATTTCAAGTAGTCGTAATAGCGACTCGAAGGTTGAGAATTCGCGCAGTATTTACAGTGTGAGAATAATTTGAACATCTTTTCTAAATCTGAGAAAAGAAAGCTGATTTTGAGAAAAATGAAACAAAAAATGATTGTCGCAGTATAATTGCAGCAAAATGAGATGATACCAAAGTATACGACTGTGAAAGTAAAACTAACTCAATTCTTGACTCAGTGAAGGATTCCACTACCACGAAGATATACGAAACGTAAGAAGAAGTATTTGGTATACATGAAAATAATCTTTTTTATAAAATCTGCAATTCTATCACCTTCTCCAGCTTCGATGAAATCACTTGAAGTGATACAAATAGAAAGAGAATCTTGCCCTTTCTGCAAGTTCTTAAATCGAAATTTTATCGTAGGCATATGGCACTGATAACTATTAAGAGAAAAACCCAAAAAATGACTCGATGCATTTTGGTCCCTGAAAGCTAAACCGTTTACTGAGATCAAAATTTACTTTTGTTCTTGATTCTATAAACTACCTCTCCTGACTAGAATTGGTCGTGACCTTTCTAGGAATAATTATGAATTCCCATTCTGCTTCAACTTACAAGGGAAGGATACTAACTTAGATATGCCTTTTGAGATGTGACACAAACATTTGGAATCAGCTTGGGACGCTGGTCCCAAACATGCTTTTCCTAGCTGCTTAGCGCTATTTTGAAGCGAGTTATGGTCTCTTTTCTATGCAAATTTTGCGTGCTCCTCGACCTACTGATGCTACGGTGTCGACATCTAGGTGGTTTTGCAATTGTATAATGTCCCTTTCAAGATCGAAATGAATTAATCTGATGCTAGCTTAACATCCTAGCACTTTTTTCGAGCAGATTCTAATCTACACGCCGTCTTACGCATTAAGAAGTTTGATAAATACTCACAACAACAAGCCCATAACTCGCTTCGGAATAACGCTAAGCAGCTAGGAACAGCATATTCAAATTCAGCGTTCGAAGCTGATTTCAAATGTGTGTGTCTTATCTCAAAAGGCAAATCTAACTTAGTATCCTTCCCTTGTTAGTAATTTTGCTTCGGATTGCTTCTCCAAAAAGTAATCTAGAATACTACCTTCGACAAAGACAAAAAGCATATTGTGTAAATCAATTAGTCTGTTTGAGCATTTTCAAGGAAAAATTTCTATTTTTTTTGTGCAAGAATTGTCCATTATTCTAAAGAATGCAACAAAAAAGAACAAGAGGAGATAATCAAACTATTTACAATGACATCCGCTGAGTAATAATAGTAAAGATCGGGTAAATCAGTGAGGACGAGATGAACAGAAAAATAAGGAGTAGCGGCAAAAGGATTTTGTGTTCACAATGGTTCGTGAGGAACACTTTGGAGAAAATGACTACGGTGAAGAACCCGTTGGTTTATTATTCAAAATAGCAAAAATACATTTTTCAAGTCTTTTTAAATGGAACATAAACCCTTCAAATATTTACAAGTATGTATGAAAATAGATTGTAGGAAATTCCCGCACTGGAAATTTCTTCTAAAGAAACTCTAACGAAGAGATTTTTTTTCTTTCAAAATCTCATCGACATAGCGATGCACTTGCATAGAAAATCCACAAACATTAGCGTGAGTGCGACAGATCATTTATCCCAGGCAACGGCGAAAATTTTTCTCCTCATTAAATGAGGAAGCGACGAAATTTTTTTCGGGAATAAAAAAGTGGTGTTCACCACCTCTCATTTGTCATTTTACAAACTCATAATTTTGAACTTCTGATCAAACGATTATTCACTTCTTCCGGACTCATATCATTTTGGCCATTCCCAAGTGAAATTAAATGTGTGATTCAGCTATGAACAAAATTTTGCATTGTGGCTCACACATTGTCAGACGGATAGAGTTGAGATATAGGGAAATATAAACCATAGCGCATTTATGATCCATAGTATAAATCAGAAATGTCATGTTAACTAACTCCAGGATGCATTTTAGTATGAAAGAAGTTTGGAGAAGGAGTATGTGGCCCATCCTTCAAAGCAGAGGGGTCTAACATAAGCCGAACAGAGGTGATCTTTCTAAGAATGTGGTGGTTTTCAGGAATACAAATAACTTCAGCATTTAGAATAAGACTAATGCGCTTAAAACAAATATGGTAGGTAGTGCAGTAATATAATGTATCGACTTGTACACGAGCTTCATTCCAAAAGTTTTCAGAATTTTCTAACAACTGTTTTGATAACTCCAGATCCGAAAAATTCTTGAACTTAAAAGAACAGTAGTAGCAGGACGAAATACATTACACGTTCTATGACAGACCATTTATAATGCATGTAGATCCACCACAGCTTCATACACGCCCATGACCATGTTTAGAAAGATGCACACAAACATCACACTTCAAAAGATTTGAATGAGGCAAACAAAAAAATGCGGAAACAACCCATCTTCTCTATGAATATAAAAAGTTTTGAAATCTTTAACAAATAACAACAACAATAACAAGCAACAAATTTCAACAAGGGGGTTTACAGTAGATAAAACAAACAGTATTTTCAGCTCGCAAAATTTAGACATTATTAGAATCACAGTTCTACAAAAATGAAAACAAGCTACTAAACTATGTACAGATTAAACTGAGGTTCTTAGATATAAATCTTATTTCTACCCATCTTTGCTGTTTTCTGCTCGAGTGGAGGCCACATGACTGTGATAGTTCCATGCAAAGACTCCGGCAACCACTCCAGATATTCTTCTAGCAGATAATTCTCATCTTTGTGCCAAGCTTCAATCAGATCCGCCTTTGTGTGAACCTACAAAACCAGCCGAATGGACACTGCGTTGCACTTTGCATCAACTACTCACCTCCTTTTCAATCAAAGCATTGAGCAGAGTCTCCGTTCTCTTCTGTAACTTAGCCCAAGACCTAACCATTGTTGTAGGAGGGGCTAGCATTTTCGGCACATATTCAGCCAGTAGAGGCATTACCTAAATAAGGGCAATGAAGAGCGTAAAGCTCAGCCCATGAGCTTGACTCCGCATACCTCTCCAGCCAATAGAAATTGTGCAAAATATCGGTACAACATGATATCATTAGGCACTGGTCGATCCACAGGCTCAAGATGCCATTCTAATGGCCCGAAAGTTACATTAACACTCTTAACTATCTGATCCTTTTCTGCGTCATACCTTAAATACAACAAATATGATTATGAAACAAACCCTAGGCTATGGGAACATACCTAGGCAGCTGATCTTTGTCCATAGGGGCAAAATTACAATAAGGTTCTGCTAGTCGCGTCAACCACTCGTGATCCACCATCATGAGATTTTGCATGCATTTACGATCACCAAGTTGGACAATTTCTTGGTAAATTACGTAATCAGGCTCCTCAGTGTAGATTACACTGCACGGATCGATGAATACATATTCCTGCAAAAAAGACAAAATAATTACGAACTTAGGAAACAGCTTGGATGGCGCGGGCATTGACATGTTGCGCCCCCTGCCAATTTTGTAAAGAGAATCTCGAGACTCCGATGCGGTGTGTACAAAAAACGCTCAAGTACTAAGAAGATTAACATGAAGATAGAAAAAAGTTCACGAGAACTTGATTTTTCAAATCGAAGTAGTCTGACCTGCAATTTCATTGTTTGGTATGCTCCTTTCGGCACTTCTTCATCACCGGCGGACCGATCCACACGTCTAGCGATGCGATCAGCTAATCCAGCTACCATCATTTGCCTATAATTCAATGATTTTTCAACACAAGAAATGGGATAATAAGTTTAGTAGTAAACCTACCTTAACATTTGCGCTTGAGTGTCTGATGGAGGCGAAAGGTTTGGGTCAAAAACGACATCAGCGGCCGCTTTGAAAGATGTGTTTACTATGTTGGTAAGTTGCCTTCGAAGTCGACGAATTTCTAACATGGCTTTATGCCTAAGACCTAACTTTGAACATGCCGCTGGACTCATCTAAACCATGAAAGATCAAGAACTGACAGAGCAAAAGCAATATTTGGTATATATATTAGGTACTATGCGCGCGCACCTTTTCAGCTTCACTGCAATTCACAGCCCGCATCAGAACCAAAAGATCGCCAAGGCGCCGGCCAGGACCCTGTAATCCTGACCATTTTATGAGTAATCGACAAAAAAAGAGCTAAGATCGAGATAAAACTACCTTCCCACACCAGCTTCTCCTCATTTTCAACACCTCCGTCATCTTTTCCTTCGTCTCTTCGTCAGTCTCGCCTCGAATAGATGAAATGGGTATCATTGGTTCTCGAACTGAAAGATAGTACGATATCACTTCTAGCGAGGGATACTGATACTGAGCAAGATTTCTATTTAGGAATAATTTCAAAGTTCAACTGAACCCATCAGTAATATCGATAACATGCCTAAAGAGATAACAAAAAAGAAACGTTCAAAAAGTAGGTGCTATATAGATGAAAGCGGCAAAAACGATGCTGACCTGACAACGCTGCTATAAGTAGAATTGCATAGGGCATCAGACTGTGCTGATTAGCCATAGCTATCACTTTTGCGTAAGTTGGTGCCAATGGAAACACCGATAATGTGCGACCCAATGACGTGATCCGCGCCTCAGTCTGAGACCAAACGCATCAAAGTCACCAGGAAAGCGTATTGCAATATAATACTTACCTTTCCTTCTTTCGTTGTTTTCGCCAATGCACCCAACTTTACCAAACGCAATTCAGCAGCTTCTAACGTCTCTGGATCAGGCGCTGAGGGAAATGGGAAGTTGACGACCTAGATATTACCGATAGTAAAATAAGCATAGCAAGAAATCTATTACAAAACAGACCTTGACAATATTCATGGACTTCAAATGAAGAACAAGTTGATCTGCCGGCTTATCTAGAATTTCCGGTCGAGAAAACTTTTCGAAATCCTCAAAAACAGCAGATGAGTAGAGCCTATAAAAGCAACACATATCTAAAATCTGATGGGAAAAACGGAATCTCCAAATCGTGCATAGATTAGACATAAAAGCGCCTGCTAATAATTCCCTGCGAAGCATGGGAGACACTTACCTGTATGCATGACCAGGTGCAATACGTCCAGCACGTCCAGCGCGCTGATCAGCCGATGCTTGACTTATATGAGCTACTACAAATTGGGATACACCCGTAATTGGATCGTAAAGTCTGAATAATATACATGAAGACCAATATTTCCATAAAACCAATGAATTACCTCCTCTTCTCGAAGCCAGTATCCACGACATACTTGACACCGGGTATGGTCAGTGACGTTTCTGCCACATTCGTCGCTATTACACACATTCTGAAATAATAGTTTTAGCAAGAACTACGCTACGAAGATGATGAGAGTAACAATTTTTACGGAAACTGATGACATACCTGGCTCCTTCTGGTGGCGGCTCAAACACTCGTCTCTGCTTCTCTGATGATAACAGTGAGTACAAAGGCAAGCAGTAGAGAGGTGCGCAGTCGTTTGGTGGAGCTGCCATGGGGGTTTCCTGCAAGCAAACATACGCTCTTTCAACCGTTACGTAAATGTGGACTGCTACTTGCTATACTTGAAAAAGTGCAATTCATTCTAAGAAAAATTTCATGCAAATGCTGACGTACAACCCAAACTCCTACATTTCTCACTCACCAAGCGACTATCTTCGTCCTCTTCTCCCTCCTCGTAATCATCCCACATGGTGTCTCCCACACCGGTTTCCAAAAAGTCTTCACCATCAAGCTGTTCAACCCGCTAAATTCAGAAATGAATGAAGTCAAAACAAATAGTATCGGCGGCTCACATTCTCTTTAAAATCCTCCAGCTTCAGATCTTGCACCTCTTTCAAACGTTTCTTTTTCCATTTTTTGCCTCCTCTTACCATGAGCTCCCCATCTTTGCTTTTCTCATAGTGAACCTAGAAGATCCAGTGATATAGAAAACGCCTGAAATCTCGCAAAATTTGTTTGCGAATTGTGCGTGCTAGGAACAAGAGTAGTTGGAAACTCTATTTCTACTTGTGAACTCTTTGAGGAACATATTCTAGAACTTGAATCAGTTCACCACAGCATAGATGACCACATAAAGATCGATAAAACTCACAGGATAGCGTGCAACCAACTTCTTGACTAGTTGCTTGACTTCTTGTTGACCGCTAACAAAAACCAGTATGGCACCATCAGGTAAGGCTTCATGGATTCTGCATATCTAAAAGGTCTACTAAAAACTGACGAGTCTACGGTAACCATAGCCAGAGGTAAGGAAGAAACTAGAAGAAGCAAAGAACGGTTGACCAAAGTCATACCCAAGACAAAAATGAATCTCAAATAAACATAGACGAGCGAAAACACTGAAATTACCTTTCTGAAAGACGCCACCATGTAGTCAGCCGGAGTGCGTTTTTCGAAGTGTACGGTTACTGGAAACTGTCTGGCTTCCACACTGATGACCTGAGGTTCTATTATAGGGAACAATCTGAAAACAGTATATTCGAAAACCGCTAAAAATTCCGAATTGGCGTTCGGCTGTTATTGCACTGAACAACACATAGGTGAAGATATCAATAGGTAAAACGAAAAAGGGATTAGATTCTGATTTATGAGCAGATCATGCATGGCTACATCATCTACCCTCGTCTCCATGCCAAAATAAATACCCAACCTTTTGTGCGTGAAGTCATCCAATCGTAAAGTGGCAGACATTATGATCAGCTTGAGTGGGTTAGCAGTTTTGGCTCTCAGTGGAGCTATTCGACTCAGCATTCCTATCAGAACATCGCTGTACATGGACCTTTCATGCGCTTCATCGATGAGAATCGCCGAGTACCTATGGATCGAGAATTCGAATGAGTGGAAAACATGTGAGCTCGCATAGATGGTGCCCAGGAAGGAGAATAAGATTGCCAGAAATAGAACATCAACGAACAACAAATAAGACTAAAAAACAGGAGATTTGAGAAAAAGAGATGTCTCACTTTTTCAGCATTATGTCAGACTCCATTTCTTTCATTAACACACCATCGGTCATAAACAATATCCTGGTCTTATCGGTGCGATTTCCTTCATAACGTATCTAAACTTTGACGATAAAATGAATGCACTTTGATTAAATCTTTGGCGGAGCAAAATGTAAAAAGCGGCGATTATCATTTCACCAATAAAAGCAAAGTCCACAAATAAGCCTACCTGGTAGGAGACTTCATCGGGTGCATTAAGTTCCTCACCAACTCTCTGCGCCATTGACATAGCTGCGACACGTCTTGGTTCCGTTATGCCAATTAGCTGACCGTCGTTAGCATATCTAACATGACAAGGAATAACGTAAATTGGTAAAAATACAAGACTTGAACTACAAAGTTCCCGGTGGGTATAAAACAAAAAAAATTGAAATTTGACTCACCCAGCTTCATACAGAAATTGCGGAATTTGTGTAGTTTTTCCTGAGCCCGTCTCACCGCAGATGACAGTCACCTGGTATTTTGACAATGAATTTGAAGATGACGATTATGAAAAGTGAAAGACTGTTCAGATAACGAAGGAAGATTTCAAACTCACAACATTATCGTTTATTGTCTCCATGATTGGTACTTCTTCGGAGTAGATTGGTAACTGAGCTCTTTTAGCCTCCATGTTTGGATCCCTAGCTATCAAAACCCGTTTCCTCTGAACCGCTGGTAAGGCAGGTTTCGAAACCTCTTCCTCAGCTTCGACTTTGACTTCCTAAACTTTATGTAATCATATGCTAACCATATTATATTGCAAATAAAGAAATCCCAAAAACCGTGAGCTTTTCCATGAAAAACATACTAGCTTTGAGAGGTAAAATAGTCTTTTCTCTCTAAAACAAAATCAGCATGCATGCTATGAGAGAAAAGATATATGGACGCAACATAAGAGATGAGAAAAATCAGAATGCCAAACAACATCTACTAACCTTTGGAGGGACCCTTAGCTCTTGTTGCTTTGCAGTTTCGCCAGTAACAATCGTCTTATTTTGGTCAGCGGATGACATAGCAGGTTTCTAGGATTCAGTATTCAAAATCCTGCACCATACAAATGCGCATCTGTACCTCTACACTTTCTTCAACTTCATGGTTGCTGTCCGCCACTTCATTGGTTTCGGCTGGTACCTCATTTTCTGGCTGAGAAGTGGAAATCGATGCTTGGCAGCCCTGAATATTGAAATCGTTGTTAGAAAAAATGGAAATGTTAGTGATAGAGAAAAAACGACACCTCGATTTCATCGCCTTCATCCTTGTCTTCCTCAGAACTCTCATCGTCTGTCGGGTAGTAGTTTTCTTGTTTACGCTCTTTTTCGTGGACTGTTGGGGGAAGCTTGATTTTCGACGATACTGACTTAATCCTAGTGGGAAAGGTGCAAGAATCGTCGCTGAAAGGGAAAAATCACAGGGATCTTCAGAAATCAACGACTGTGCACCCTTTCAATTTCTCTTGCATATGAGTAGATGAGCCGAGTTGATTCAGCTTTTTCGTATCCACTTGGTATTCAGCCAAACTGGCGAAAAGCTCCTCTTGCTTGAAAAAAAGAAGTGAATGTTCCTAGAAAGCTCGATATAAGATTATCAACTTACCGTCAATTTATTTGCTTTTCTCTGCTGTACTGCTGCCAACTGCCGCTTCATCTTCTTTGTCATCTTCTGTTTTTCTCTTTCTTTAGCGTAATTTTTGCTTTTCTTACCACCAGTAGCATCCTTTTTCTTGGGAATCGGTCCATCATCGACCTTCTTCCGCTTCTTTCCTGTAACGTATGCAGTTTCTATTATTTGAAAGACGAACTTTCTGTTCGAAAGAGTAAAGAGTAATTCTACCTGGAACTATCACAAGTTGATTCGAATCGTTGGTATCAAGGTGATCCCTTTTTGGATCATATAGAACATCTGTGGACGTCATCCCTGAAACTGCAATGGCAAAGCATCAAATCGAAGTACCTAATGACAAGCAAAGTACAAAGTGAAAACACACAGCAATCGTCCACAAGTAAACAGAGCAAATTTGCCAAGGAAAATTTCAGAGCGCGAATTTTGGAGGGGATTAACAACAAAAGTAACAGAATACGTAGCGCTCTGAATGAACAAAAGTTGAAAATCAAGAAGATGGAACTAGTTCTGCGAGCTCGCAGATAAACTAGGCGTGAGTTAACACATTGTGTTATCACGTCCTCTTCAGTACACCGTACGTTACGACGTCGTACGTATCTACAGTGGATTCCGCTTAATTTAGTGTGCTTGCACTGTAAGTGAAATGCGGTACGTATGTAAAAAATTAGCCACGCCAATAATGCCGGCATTCTGCGCGCGCAAATGGAAGGCGTCACAGCCTTATGTAACTACTTCTTCAGGCGCAAATTTCAGCGCATTTCACCTAGGCATAGTGCAAGCACACTATATTAAGCGGCAATTCTACTCGACTGTACATACCAGTGGCGTACCCAGAATTTCGGCTCGGGTGGGGGGACGACAAAAAATTTTGAAGGTGAAGGTGTGTGGCGCCAGTCACGCATGCCGAAAAATTTTTTGGTATGCTCCCTAGAATCCCTAGAAAAACAAAGTTTTATTTGTCTTTGCGCTTTGATACTAAGTTTACGAGAAAAGCAGCAATCTTTTGGCAAGCTTGAGCGCGCATATCTGACGATCTCCTTGGAAATTTGGTTTCTTATGGAAGTGTGAACCAACAACTATCCTTTTCTTCCCTATCTTTTTGAGGCGCATGCTCAAATTTCACTTGTTCTTCTCCTCAGTCTTCAACATTCATCATTTTGTCTCTCAGTCTGTTATCTGATGAAGATATCTCCCGTGATTTTTCTCTGGGGAGAGTCACGGGTGATCTATGGCTTTGGAAATCATAGATCTCAAGAGCTCATGAACACAAAAAATTATGACGGGTAGTTGTTGAAAATTGCAGATTCTTGCAAATATCTTCCAGGGAGTTACGAATAAGTCTATATGGTTATCCCCTGAAAAATTATTTGATTTTATAATCTTACTGTCGTTCTGTCTAGAAAGAAACAATTATGTTTTTGATTGTATACACGCTAGTCTTGTCTACATGACGAACCGCACTTAAATTTGTTCTTTGCAACTTGCGTTTCTGTGATCAAAAATGTAGAATTTTCTGACATTCGCTAAAAGTCAATTTTTGGGGACCTTTGACCATCTATGACCACGCAAAGGCTAGAAACCAAATCAAATGTGCGAATCAACCAAATCAATATCACTTACCCTTCTACAATGGACCGTAGTTTTTTAATATAATTTTGGAATTTGGTGAAGATCCGGCTCACGCTTTCCTGCGCCATTTTGTAGTAGGTAATAAAGACATCTCCTTCGAGCACGATTGAGTATCGAATTCTCATTGAGTTATTCTTTTTTTTCCCAGTGACGCCATACATCCATACCAAAATATTGTTTTTGAGGTTTCTACAAATTTTTTCAAAAAACAACCAAAATCATTTTCTAGCCAGCTTAATTCCAGTACTTTAGATTTTCATTAGAAAACTCGGAGGACCTTTGCACTTGTTTGATGAGATCTATATCTATAACCAATTGGAACTAGTTTGTCTCTGTTTTAATTTCCTTTCAAATTTCTCGAACATTTCTTTCGTATCTGAGTGGTACTTGAGCCTTTCTTACTGTTGTGATTTGTTGTTCCATAGAAATGAACAGCAACCCTTCTTGCTTGTTTATTCACTCTGTGACATAAAGGGCACTGATGCCAAGGTCCGATAAGGCTGCTCAGTATCTTTGTTTGTACAATTTGAAGAATAACATGAGTTTTGTTATTAGTTTTTATAAAAAAACTCCCAGTAAAGCGTATCTCCGACACAATAGTATAAATTCTTTTTTTGCTGGTTAACAAGGAATGGAGCGAAATAATAATTTTTGTAGAAAATTAACTGAAATGAAAAGGAGTAGAGAAATCATGACTGAAGTTTTATCCACAACAAAATCGGAACCTTAATGTTTTAGAAGTGTATTTGAACGCATCAAAAATCCACAACACTGATAGATTTAATAATGAAACTCATACATTTGTGAGAGTATAAAAAACGAAAAATAAGGGGAATTAGTGAGTTTTCAGTTTTTGAACAAACTGGGAAAAATTCTTGTGGGCGAAGATGATACTCGTTATGAGTTCCATATCATTATCTGGACAGATAGAATTAGAAGAGAAGCTTTGTCTTAGTATGACATGACAAAGGGCATAACATTTCTTCACTTTTCGGAAACCAATTATCCTATTAGCGGCATTTTCTTCGACTGAAAAAATTTCCAGGATTTTCGTTAAGCTTGGATTTTCCCATGCTGAACGCAGCTTCGCAGCCAGTATAGTGTTCGGCGTAACATTCAAAGTGCAGTATCGAACACAGAAGCCTTTGCTTGTCATCTCCAGGGAGAGGCGAGGGTTGCCAAGCGTTTTCGTACTTACTCGGAAAGGTAATTCGGAAACGTAACCAGCTGGCGGGCTCATCGGTGACGATGCGCAGCCTGCGGTGCCTCCCTGCCAATTTTTGTGAAGGTCCCTTGGGGCCGATGCGGGAGGGTGTAAGTGCAGCTTGCTAGAACAAAATTTGCATTGGGGCCAAAAGAAAAAGAGAGGTTTTCATATGCGAGAAAATGTTGCATTTCTGTGATTTTCCGCGTTGTTTATTGAGGCTAAATCAATTCACGAAATAGTAGAAAAGGAAATCTTGGGAAAAGAGCACCGCAGCCATTTTATTGGGGACAAAATTTGGACAGTGCTGCCTTCTGGAAAGCTACTGAGACTATAAGGGATTATAGGGATTCCACTAAAGTGCACAGAACCAATAACTGTGCTTGAGCAGGTGAATTCTACCTTTTTGTCATTTTTCACGAAAATCGCAATTTTTCATGGAATACTTCAATCTGCACAAACTTCGTTTGACTACAAAGAAATTAGACTACCGATCGCTCGGAAAGTGCAAGTTCCGAATATTTGGCGTTACACAGGAAAATCGAAATTTGAGTTTTCTTCTACCGTTTCTCTTTTATAAAATGTATACGTAGTAAACAGCTGCTTAAGCCCCTTTATAAAAATCATGATATCTTGCTTCAATTTTGAAAGATCTGGCAAATCCGTTGAGAGAGCACAAGTTATAAATTTCCGATATTAGTGGTGCAAAACTTTTGATTTGACCTAAAGGCTGAGGATTACGAGATTGAAAAGTATAAAAATGATGATTCCATCTTTTCGTGATGTTTCATCGGTCTTGATACATGTTTTTTTGCAACGAAAAACATATATCGCAACCAAAATATTATTATACACATGACTTGCTTTTTTATATTTGTGGATAATAATGAAAAAAAAATGATACGGAAAAATAAATTATAAAGGAAAAGCAATGATATTCATGATATCTTTGTTACTCTTGAGAAAATTGCAATGGGTCAAGTCGTTGTGCACAGCAGAAGAAATCAGCCATATCGAAACAAATTATCACTTTTAGGGTGCGTAAAAAAAGTAAAAATGACGCAAAAGAGCATCAAAAGAGGAGACTCTACGAAATTTGAACAGCTGGTCCATTTTTTATTTTTGGTCGGAAGTGTCATATGAATCTTAGGATCCAAGAACGCCCTTCAGCAATTGTTAAAATAGTGTTGGAAGTTGGAACAAAGTTTAAGAAATTTCTTAATGACGTTGTAATCTACAGAATATATTATTTTACTTCCTTTTGCTTGCTTGATTATATTGTTGCAATGAGGTTGAAATTTCATTCAATTTTTAAGAGATTTTGAACAGAAATTTTCGATAATTTCACTTTTGCGTTGAGCTTTGAATTTCCCCATGCTGAACATCATTTCGCATCCCGCGCGTTGTTCGGAGTAGCACAAAAGGCGCAATGTTCAGCAAAGTAAGTGTTGCTTGTCATTTCCAGGGACCGGCGAGGGATGCCAAGCAAATTTTTGCGCTCAAACAAAATTCAAGACAAGTAATGGACCCATCCGGAATGGTTCACCCCTGCCTCCCTGTCAATTTTTGAAACCGTCCCGCGCGGGACTTTACTGAGAGATTCTTGCAAAATAAAAACGTTTTTCAAAAAGCAAAGAAGAATACGAGTTTGCAGAGCATCCTATGGTTGTAAGTGCTTTTTTGTATTTATTTATTTATTTATTTATTTATTTATTTATTTTGTACGCCAGGCGGCGCGCTTCAGTAACACAAATCAGATCAGAACAGGGTGTAAAACGACTAATCAATAGAAAACATGAAAAGAAAGAAAAAAAACCAACAAAGGAACAATCGTATTGTAATGAATAAGTCATCCAGATCTTTGTCTTGATAGAGTTATTGAAAAAATAAATGGAGTGATTTTGATGGTATAAAAGTTTATTCAATGAAATAGTCCCAGCGAATAAATTGAAAATTGATGCAAAAACCGTAATTTTTTTACTAGTGTTTGACACTATTTATTTCCTCTGCAAAGTCTGTAAAAAAATTTTTTTTTGAAGTTCTTGCATGTAGGACAGATTCGCCAGAAAAGCTCTACCAAAATGATGAATAAGGGTTCACTCCCACCATAAGTTTCAGCTTAAAAATGTTTGTAATCTCGCGAAAAAGTGTAAAGTCATGAAAAATTGACATGAAAATGTAGTAATTTTTTTTCAATTCTTCCAAGACGACGTTTTTTGTTTTTCGCGCCGAATCTCGAATTTATTCGTGCTCACCTTTTCACAACCAGCGCGTTATACGGAGTAATCTTCAAAGCGCAGCGTTCATACAAAAACGTGGCCCTTGACATCTCCAGGGACCGGTAAGAGGTGCCAAGTGATTTTTGCAATCAAGTCAAAATCAAAGTTCAGCATCAAGTTATAGACCCATCCACTAGGGTGGCTTGGTCTATCCCCGCCTTCCTGGGTCTATAACTTGATGCTGAACTA